ATACATTGCTGTCATTCATGTAGTTACAAAATGTCAAGTGTATTTAAAAACAAAATGGCATTGCACATTGTTTAGAAGTAAAGCCTAAAAAGACGGCAATAAGCATGATATCGGGGTCAGAGTAGAAGAACCATGACAGAAATAATCCATAGTGCGACTTATAAAAGTAAACAGAACGGAAGCTGAGCGTAGCTCTTTGGTTCCGCTGAGGAAACGCACGTCTTGGATTCCCTGGCTGCCAGTCAGCGTATGACTTGTAGTCCCACCACGCTGCAGCGCCCCATGTGGTGATCCGCTGCAAAGACGGAAACTGCACACTTCCTCCCGCAGCTACAAGCGTCCTGCATTCTACAAGCACCACACGGCCTGCAATACCAGACACAGCCAGCAGGCGCCGCTACAGCGCGCATCTTGTAATTACGTCTTTACACCGCCACGAGGCACCCTTTCCCAAGAAGCTCCGCCACTCACCCCCTGCGGCCTCGTCCTTCCCTATCATCATCGGACTATCATGGTCTATGCTGCCGCTCCTCGATGGGGAGTCTGTGTCCGAGGTGGTGGGGGTCCCTATCGCCAGCTCCTCTTCTTCCAGCACAGCGCGCTGCATGTCTTCTGACTTGTGCTCTTCCTTCGTCCGCTTCATCCTCCTGAGCCCGCACTCTTCCTCCCGTAGCGCGCACGGTGTAGAAGCGGCGGGCCCGTTATACACGCCGTCCAGCACCGCACAGGAGGGCGGGGCCTTCGCTTGACGCAAAGGAAAGGACGGTGTCACCTACCGCTGAGCGCCGCACAGGACTGAGGGGCGGGCACAACGACGTTGTGGGGGGGCGGAGCTACAGCTCTGCGCCGCACAGGACTGGGAAGGATCGGGGTGGGTGATATCCCATGAAAGGGGTTTGTTGCTGATTTCGGCGCCGCACGTGAATGGGGGAGGTGCGGGCTCGACGTTGTGGGCGTGTACCCCCTCGGGGTGCCGCACGGGACAGGGGGCGGAGATGTGTGGCAGTTCGGGATGGCTGCGACATGCTGTATGTTGCCGTGCACTGACATTTAAGCTGGGTTCATTGGTTGAGCGAGGAACAGCAGCTTGCCCAACCCAGGCTGTACACGGAGCGTCCCGCCTTCTAGAGCCATGCTAGTTAGAGGGATCCGCATCACACTACACACGGCTATAGAATTACACCACATCTATAGCCAATGAGCTACAGACAGCCGCTCTGGCCACGTCACTGACGTCACTTCTACACGGAGCTGCATTATGGCGCCCCTGGCCTGTCACCATAGTAACGGGGCCCATGGGAGGGGAAGAGGCTCCGGAATTAACAGCTTACCAGCCGGTGTGTACATCGAGGGACAATGCTCCATGTCATTTCACTGCAAGAAGCTCTGCATCAATAAATGTGTTCTCATAAAATGATTATAAGTAACACACAAGGCTACTGACAATCTAATAAAATGGGATTTACTAAAGGAATGCAAGCTTGTTCACTTTGGAAAGTTAATGTTAGGCTAGATTCACACAGTAGAAGAAGACAGATATCTCCCGAATGTCCTTCCTTTGGAATCAAATGCCTTTGTCCCCTTTTTCGGCCTCTCTATAAAAAAAAGTATTTATTAAAAGTGTTTTAGTGCACTAAACCTTTTCCCCACACATCCCAACTCTCCTGGACGTTTCAGGGGTCTCCAGCGAGAGAAACGTTTATTCCGGAAAGATTTACTCCGAGTAAACCTTTCTGGGATCCCTAGCTATCTGTTTGTTTGGGGTTTTTTTGCATTCTGATGGCGGCCGCCAAACACACAACAGATAGCAGGGGAATAAATTGCTAGGCTGCTATTGGCCATTTCAAATTGCAATAGCCAATAGCAGGCTGGCGATTGCACCTGTCCCCTGCTGCTGTCAGTCAGCAGAGGTGGACCTGAAGTTCTGCAGGCCAATACAAAAAATGGAGGAGAGGAGGCACCTCCCTGAAATGAGTTTTTGCAGGTTGGGATGTCTGTTTTACCTAACCCTAAAATCAATAATTTTTCTACTTTTAAAAGGAAAAGTAGGGATGAAAAAAAACAATTTTGGGTTAAAGCAATCATTTTTTGCGAATTAATTCTCATGGTCCTTGTTACTGGTGGTGTGGCAGGGGCGTGTCTTCTGTCTACACACTTGATGCTGTAATGTGTTCCTCTTTTCTATCTCAGAGTTGGGAGGTATGGAACGCATGCATTTGGAGTGGAAATCCTATTCTTTCCTATGTGGCTGGTTCACATCAGGACACATACAGCAGCGACCTGTGTTTTTCTGCCCTTGATCAATGCAAGTCACCACTAGGACACAGAAAACCAAGAGATGTATTCATACACAGCCCTGCTGTGCTGTGCAGTGTAGAATAATGCAGGTATGCTGAATTTTTCTGCAGAGTGCTGGAGGGCCACTGCTTCTGTGCGGAGACTGAATGCAGTGTGCACTTTGTACACTGCCAATAAATGTAAAAAAAGTAAACAGCTCCTTGCATGGTAACAATTTTTGTTATATCTGTCTGTGATCATGTTGGACAGATTCACCTCTTTGTACTGGTTACTATTGTCACCAAAAGAAAAAGTGGGGGGCTATTGAGCCAGGTCATTTCCGTGGGCCCTGGAAGATGCTACAAACCCCATCTAATCCCCCTCCAACATGTATCCTGGGCTCCCTGGACACCCATAACGGGTGTTATAGGCAAGAGCAGAGGGAGATTAAGGAACATCCATTCACTGATTGTCCTTGCGAAGAATGAAACTGCAAGTGACAAGTGTTTCGTCACTTCTGGTTTCAGAGCTCTCATTCCCTGGCTGCTGTGATTTGATTTTGTGCTGGATTTGAATGCAAAGGTGACATTAAGAGTCTAGTAGACCTCTAATGTCTCTTAAAGAGAACCTGTCACCTCCTATGTGATAGCAAAAAAGTTGAATGAAAAAAGTGTAAAAAATTAAAGTTGCATAAAATCAATTAACCACCTGCTGTCGGGCCGTTGTAATTAAACGGCCGGACAGAGGCTTCTTGAGAGCGGGTGGGCGTCTTTAGACGTCCCATCCCGCTTGTGCCCGCCGCTAGGCGGCGGGCATGAGCTAGAAATCGGCTTTGAATGTAAACAGCCAGCGATGGCTGTTTACATACAAGCGTTCGGGCGTCTGTAGAGACGCCCGATCGCTTGTAATATGCGTGCGCCCCCCTCTGCCGCAGCCGTCGATCCCGAGCTCGGCTGTGCCCGGTGTGAGCCCGGGACCGGCACAGCAGCTCTGCAGCCAGAGATCAAACACAAGCTCCGTTTGATCTCCTCTTCGGAATGCAGGCAGTGATGTGTATTACATCACTTCCTGCATGCCTCTGTCAATCTCCAGTACAGAAACCGGAGAGAAGCTGGTGAAGCAGGTCTCTGCTTCATCAGCTTATCTGGGGGTCCACAGGTGACATTAGGGGTCTTAAAGACCCCTGATATCTCCATTAAGAGGACCTGTCACTGCAATTTGGCTATCACATAGGGAGCTTGTTTTCTCCCTGTGTGATAGGAATAAAGTTCAGTGAAAAAAAAAGGTTTAAAAAAATTAAAGTTACAACAAAAATTAAAAGTCACATATCAAAGCAATAAAAATTAAAGTCCCCGCCCCCACATGCACACGCAAACATGCGTCCAGTCCGCCTATGTGCGAAAACGACGATTACATCCATTGCGCCGCACATGTTACATATCGCCACGAACGTCGGAGTGAGAGCAATAATTCTAGGGCCATCAATCACTGATAACACTAAACTGATGAGCGGTAAAAGTTTTTAAAGCGTCGGCTGTGGTCAATTTTGAGTATGGTAGTTTTTTGCTATGTAGCAGGTGTGCGCAATTTTAAAGCTTGTTTGGTGTCTATTTACCCGACGTGACCCCGTCTTTTATATTTTACCAAAAAAATGGGTAATAATAAATGTTTTATAACATAATGTAGGGATAACAGTTTTTTTTTTCAAAATATTCGGTACTTTTTTCATTATATAATTTTACAAAAAACGTAGTGGTGATTAAATAAATACCACCAAAATAAAGCTCTATCTGTCCCCAAAAAATGGTCTAAAATTAATTTCAGTACAGCGCTGCATGACGGAATAAATGTCAGTCAAAGTACTGCAGCGCTGAACACTGAAAAATGGCCTGGCCAGGAAGGGGGTGTAAACACCCTGGTCAGCAAGTGGTTAAAAAAAGTGTCACCTATGGATAATTTTGAGTACCAAAGTTCTTCATTTCACGGACCCACTCAACTTTGATGCTGGACTTGATTGGTATCTATTTACACAACCTCATCGTTTATAGTTTGCCAAACACACATGGGTATGTGTTTTTATATGTGTAATATATGGGTTTTTTTGTGTGCAAAAAAACATAATTGAGTGCATTTGAAGGACAGAAAATGATGGATTTAAAGGACAGTTGCATTTTTTTTTGGGGGGGGGGGGGGGG